AAAATGAATATTATAAATAGTGTTTACTTCTTCAATGAGACTGAGTAAGTAGAACTTGATTTATCATATTGAGTTTCTGTGATTTTATTTTGCTTTATGACATAGCCACATAGCCCTTATTTATGATCACCTGTGAGATATGGGTTATCTGCAAGGTACATTCTGGGCTAAGTGATTGAATTAATTGATTTCAAATAATTAGTTTAATTAGCTTCTCACTGCCAACTGTTCAGAACATTTGTGCTAAGTGTGTTCACAATTTTTTTTATATTTCCAAATTTTTTTGGAGTTTTTTTTTAAAGCAAACAAATGCTGCACGGCAGCCTGCAGATCCAGCAGCAGTTGCCAGAAATGGCTGGTCAGGGCTAACTGGTTTTTACAAATTCTAAGATATTCTGACTCAGTGGCTGTGTTTATGGCAACTGAGCACGCACAGGCTGCTCGACTAAGGCCTTGGATGCAGTCATCATGACCTCAGCAAATGGCATTGGTGCGGATAAGCCAGGCCTCTGTCAGTAAATGATCTGTTCCAGATGTGTGGCCCTGAGTATGGGAGGGAGGGAGGGAGGGAGGGGGAGAAGACTTCTCCTTGTTCAGTGAATGTACAGAGCTTAGGGAGATGAAGGTGGGCTGATAATGTCGGTGGGTGGTTTTGAGTCATACAAGGAAGGGAAAGGGCAAGGAGCTTACAAAAATCAACCTTGGATACAGCTGCTCTGCCTGGTTTCAAGAGGCAGCATTCTATTTTGCTTGGTTCTCTCTTGGATTTGGTCCAAAACCTGCATGATGTGATACATCCATTTAAAGAGGCCCAAGCTGGGAAAACAGCACTAAGCTGGGTTGAAGCTAAGAGCATGTATGCTACCGTCTAAAGAACTGCACCCAGCTTTGGAGCTTTGTCTCTGTAATAGGTCTGCGAAGTGGTTTGTGGGTTCAGTTCTATTAAATTATCATATTTGGATGACTTAGAGGCAACTGCAATTAAGGCTTCCAAGTAAAGTACTGTAGTTTAAGACTGCGAAGTATGGTAGCTCTAGAAGGTGATGAACTAGTTAAACTTTAAATTAGAGGCTAGGTTGACTGAAGCAAAGAGCAACATTTGAAACAAATACTCCAAACTCTGCCCTCTGAAACAAAATGACTGAATACATTTACCAATAAAAGATGTTAACTTGCTCTTCCCTAGAAACTCTTTTAGGAGAAAGCATTCAGTTCTGTATGGTGTCCTTCCATCTTTTGGATATGTGGTAGAGGGGATCTCTCTCTTTCCTCTTACTTGGCTATAGCCAGGAAAACATTTTTTAAAATCCCAAAGAAGCTTCTACAGTATGGGCTTTATTCAAAACTAATATCTATAATATGAAAATCGCTTTAGAAAAATATCATCATCATCATCATGAGGAAGTTAAAGGTGAAAGTAAGCAAGGCTCAGGAGTGATATCCAAGCCAGGAGCCTTTTAGACAACATAATCTACCTAGTGAATACAGAAAAAACAGAAGTGGAAGCAGCCATTATAGTCCATATAATCTGACCCCCTGTTCATTGCAAGAATCACAGTTCAAGCAACCATACCTGTTGGTTCTCTAGCATCTGCTTGAACTCATGTGACCAAAGGAACTCAATCTTCTCCCTCAATCACTGGTTGTTAACTGGTTATAAACACACTTGCTTACAGAACTGGTTTTCTATAGAGTATTATTAATCATTCTTACAAATATATAATATTTGAAGATACCTCTTTAATATAAGGCCTTCTCTCAAGTGAGCATAACTCCCTGAAACAGAATCTTTGGGGGCTTATTTTCCATGGATGCCCACTAACATGAGTAACTTGTGACTTTAAACATTGAATATTTATAAAAGCAAAGGAACTTTAAACTTTTAGTAAGGAAATGCTAATTTCAAAATAAATTTTGCTTATTGCAGTATTATTCTGGAGAGGGACAGTGGGGAGTTTGCTGAGTCTGTTATGATAGGACAGGGGTCTTCAAACTTGGTCCTTTTATGATTTGTGGACTTCAACTCCCAGAATTCCTCAGCCAGACATGCTGACTGAGGAATTCTGGGAGTTGAAGTCCACAAGTCATAAAAGGGCCAAGTTTGAAGACCCTGTGATAAGAGATCATCATGTCTCTCCTGCTTAATTTTTTATGTGACAGCAAACCACTAAAAGATTGAGAGATGAAAGTAGGCTGATATGGGAATATCTGGCCATTGGTATTAGAGTCTAGGCCCAATACATTCTGGAAAACTGGCGGTGTCTTTTTCTCCTGCAGACACATAGCATTAAGTGGTGGTAGAATTCTATGATGGGTGGCTGGTTGACAGAGTCCAAATAAGAGCCATCTAAGAAAAGGATCATGATGGTACCATAGCCCTCTAATTAGGGGATATTTCTGGGTTACAGATTTCATGAATGAGCCAGACCTGCAAAGGAGTTAGATAAATTATTTTATCAGGCAACAGGGCCTAAGTCTTGAAGCAGATACAACATGACTTGGATTAATTCTGATAGCTTTCTATCAGATTACCTCCCATCGGCCGGTACGCTCCCACAGAGTGGGTCTCCTCAGGGTGCCGTCAGCCAGACAGTGCCGGCTGGCGACCCCCAGGAGGAGGGCCTTCTCGGTGGGAGCTCCCACCCTATGGAACGAACTACCCCCAGAGATCAGGGTGATCCCGGATCTCCCTTCCTTCCGCCGCGCCCTCAAGACATGGCTATTTAAGCTGGCAGGACTGGCCTAAGGGGTATTTTTAGTCGGGTTTTAAAACAATTTTTAAAATAACAAAGGCCAAATTAATATTTCCTTTTAATTACGTTTTAATGGTAGTATTTTTGTACTTTTGTATTTGTTTTTATTAGGCTGTTAGCCGCCCTGAGTCCGCAAGGAGAAGGGCAGGGTAAAAATATAATAAATAAAATAAATAAATAAATAAATAAATAAATAGCTGCTTAAGGGTGGAGGAATGCCCAGATGGGTGGAGATGTTGTTCAAATTATTGGAATGTTATCTTGACATGCAGCCTTGTTGTATCAAAATGGGAAGATCATGAGTTTTGTTGGAGTCAACAGCTGGGCTAATGATATCCAGGATTCGGGGTGAAAAAAATCATTAAAAAAGTCAGAAGATAGCCAAAAAATTGTCATTAGTCTATCAAACTATCAGCTTATAAAGACTGTTCACTCTCCCAATATGAAATAAAACTGAAAATCATGGTAGTTGAAGCCCAGCATTATTTGGAAAGAACTGTAATGAAATAGATGGTTTATGTATATCCAATGTTAATTCAAAAAGAAATTATTAGTCAATTAGTCATTGTTCTATATGTGATGTTTTATAGTGAAAGTGAATAAAGTTTTGAACACTCAAAACAAGTGTTCTTGATTAAGGTCTACTTGGCTATCTCTGGAAGAATGATTTTTTAAATGTTAGTGACTCTCTCTATCTCTCTATCTCAATCTCATGCATTTGTGTGTGGGCACATACACACACACGCTCATACACACATATTGATTTCCAAGTATCTATTTAAAGGAGCTCTGTCAAAAAATATAAGGAAAGTCCTCTGTCAAGTTAATCTTAGAGAATTGTTCCTAGTTGGCACAGATTTTGCCAGGCTGCAGAAACCAATAGGACCTGGGACCAGGTAAGTTCACATGTCAAAGTTACCCCAGAGAAAAATACTATGGAATAACATATGCCAAGACATATTATCAAACACAGAACTAAGATTCCCATGATTTATATCTGCTTTTGCTCACCACTACCACCCCCAAAGTTCATTAATTTCACTACAGGCAGTTCTGCCTTTTAACCATAGGAAATGGCATTAGCTTTACAGGAATAAAATGTAATCAACTGGTGCTGTTTTCATGATAAATTTGTTATTGGAAATAAGGATCATTTTGTAGAAGATGATTTCTTTTTTTAAAAAAAATAAAACTAATGAAATACAGCCTATGTGGAATAGACAGCATCATACACACGAAATGGATTCTTAACTGGCTAACCAATGACACACAGCTTGTAGCCCTTGGTAGAACTACATCTACATGGAGGGAAGTAAGCAGTGAAGTACCCCAAGATTATGTCTTCTGTTTTCAAAATTTTCACAAATGATTTAGACAAGGGGATAGAAGGAACTCATCAAATTTGAAGATGACACCAAGCTGGGGAGAATAGCCAACACTTTAGGAGATAAGCTCAAGATCCAAAAGGATCTTGATGGACTTGAACCCTGAGCACTATCCAACAAAATGCAATTCAGTGGTGAGAAAAGTAAGGTCTCACACTTAGGCACCCTCACCGCCACCGCTGCTGAACTGGCTGAATCCCCCCACTGAATCAAGATCATGTGAAGTGTTCATACTTTACATGCGTTGGTAAGTCCACACTTGGAATACTGCATCCAATTTCAATCAGCATGATACAAAAAAGATGTTGGGATGTTTTGTTGTTCTGAAATTATTTATTTTATTGATTAAATTTATATGTCATCCATAAAGGGACTTGGGGCCTGAAATTATTCAGTAAGTCATTATACCAGTGAGCATTTCACCATACTGTTATGTATTTATGCCAAAATACCCAAATGGCTACGTATAGCATCTTTCTCCCTTCCTCCACCAGTTGTTAGATATATACAGAAAGAATCCTTCTCTTCCTCACTCTCCCCTCCTGGTCAGGATCTAGTCCCTTTTTCTTGCTCTTAATGTTTAAGGTTGAAACACATTTTTGCAGTTTTTCTTCATGGCATCTTTTAATTCTTGCTAATACATAAGTTAGTTAAGCAGTGCAGATGTTAACACTGCCTTAGGGCTGTCTGTCCTGGTCTGGTTTTGCGCAGGGAGAGAGGCAGTGTCTGGTTCCAACTGCTTGACGTTCCCTGCTCTTCCCTCTGCCCTGACTGCCCATTTGGAGCTTTCGCTTGGATTTCACAACCAAGTTGACTGAGTGAATAAAAAAATTGCCAAGTTGAGGCACTCTGGGCCTTGTAAAGCTGCAGGGCTGTGAACGGCACTCTGTTGCTGGCAGGCAGGGTGACCTGAGGTGGCCGTCCCAGGGTTGCAGAGGTTCTGGTAACTCTGAATGGGTGGGGAACTGGGAAGGAGAAGTTAGTCTCACTGAAGCAAAGCCCCCGGGAGCCGGGCTTGCTCCTGGATCTCATTTTTCACATGTCTCCTGCACTCTCACTACTAGCCCTGTAAGAGGAAAGGAGGTGCTTCCTGTTATTCTGATTCAAATCTCAAGCTGGTCACAGGAGAGAAGCAGACTGTCTATGCTTCAGAGTGGCAGGCTGTACAAGATGGATGGACGAGCTCTGCTCTTGAAATTAGTTTTGCTGGTTTCCACAGGTAAGTGGTTCTCCAGGTTGGGTAAGGTATGGCACAGGATGCTTGGGGCAGTGCGGCACTGGACAGCTCATAGTAGATTTGGTCTCTGGACTGGCAAAGACAATGAGGGCCCACACCCAGACAGTTCATCTTGGACAGGTTGGAATGACATTTTAGGGAATGCTGAGGGGATGGTTGGATTAGGAATCCAATGCTCAGATCTTTCTGTGATCCTGCTTCTTACCTGAATGAGCCACATATCGTAGGACTAGCCCTGCCTTCTGCTCTCTGCATGTGCCCCACCCAATTTATTTACTTATTCCTCCATTATTTTCCCTGATCCCACATCACCAGTATTTTTTTTAACTGCCTCAAAGAACAATGAGGGTATTTTACAGGTATAAGATCCTAAGGATTGAGATGCCCTCTTGTCCCTCCCTTCAGTTTTGCTTATACTCCTCCATCCTTCCACAGGAAGAATGCCGGCCTTTGACAGAACAAGGTGCTCTGTATCCAAGCTGTATTAAGACTTTGGCAGGATTTGTGAAGCCACTTGCATTCTGATCCTGGCTAAAGTGGAAATAAATCAGAGTGTCTTGTGAAATACTTGTATCTCTTTTTTCTTCTTTTCTTTTTGCTTGCAATGATTTCAGAAAAGAAATGAAAGAAATAGATAGCTTGCTTTAGTGTAGCATTCCATGTATGGAGGCATCTTTTTTTACTTTCCTGCTAAAAATGGTTTGATCTTGTGCAGGAAATGCACTTTCCTTCCATCCAGGTACATTTACTGATTCTCCTAATTGATCAACCTATGGGATCCATAGTAGAGTTTGTCAAAAGTAGATGTCAGATGTATTTTGCTTATAGAACTGATATGTTCAGAATAGCACAAAGACGTAATGCAAATGATACTCTTCAAGGAGAATAGCTTTGCTCCAAACAAATAAGAAAATATCTTCATAGTTTCAAATCTGACAACTGCTACACATTACTGTGGGGAGAATGCATTCACTGAAAAAACAGCAAATAAATACATTTTATAGATTTATATAGAATCAGTTAACACAAGATTTTGCTATTCAGTTGTCTATGTCCCAGTGGGGGCAAAAATCAGTGGTTTAAGTAATACAGAACAAAGCAAACTATTTTGGCCCATTGACAAAGTTCTCAAACAGAGTTAGGTACATCTTTATTACAACCAATATGTCCAAAATCATAACAAATAAATTCAACGTTTGAAATGTATGTTAAGGACAATGTTGTCTGGGGCTTAAAAAAGAGTGGAGAAAGGCATACAACATATAGAATGCTGGTTATATCTTATCTTTTTTTGGGGGGAAACCCCATAATTTTTGAAAATCTACTTGGTATAATATAATTTATTTGATTCTGCATCTCCTCCTCTACTTTACTATATCACTACAACAATGCATACCTGAAAGGATCAGTATTAAATGTGCTTTTTGACCCACTTTCCTTTCCCCTCTGTTTATGGCATTATCTTGATTAATTAAGGGTACAGTCTTGGAAAACTGGACATAATTGTGCCTATGTTAAGCTATTTTAATGAAGATATTGACTGAGGATTTGGAGTTAAAATCATACAATGACATCCAACAACAAAGGCAAATTGAGGTAAAGGCTATCTCAAGTAGAGAAGAGAGGAGAAACGATGGTTAGTGTTTTCTCTGGGATGGGATTCTGCTCCCCATTTTTACCCTAACCAAAAATTCCAAACTTGTTTGTGAGTTTGGAACTCATAAACTTGAATTTGAACTTTTAATAAGATTTTCTGCACCCTCCCCCAATAATGGTTTCAGTAAGTCTGGACAGCTCCTTAATTCTAATTTTCTCATAGCTAGACTTTTTTCTGAGGTTATTTTTACATCCTCTCCATTTTCTCTCAATTGTAGTGGTTATTACACTTCATGCTTATTCTGGGACAACAGTATCTCCCCAAAGTGCTACCTTCTCTTTCAAAAGTCTAAATCTTACACTTCAGGAAATTAAAGGTAAGGTAAAAATGAAACGGGGTGAGTTGATACTAAGAATTTGGATAAAGATTTTCTTAGAGTGCTAGAATCCAGGTTTATTCTATGACATAAAATGGAGGAAGATGAATGAATTTTATTTAGATAACTGTGCTTATTTTAGATAGCACAGGGCTGAACTAAGAAATCTGCAACTACTAAATGTGCCAATGGGCACTAATCTGAAAAACTTTCAGAAAGATTAAGAAGGATGAGGCTTTAAATAGCTATTAATCATGACAGGTTATTTATCATGGTAGGTTGCTTACTTCATCCAAGATCAGAAGCAGCAGGCCATGACTATCAGAGGGAGCTGTCTTGTTCTGCATATGGGGGCTTTCTTGTGTTTGAAAAAACAGGATGCTGGGCTAGATAGGCCTTTAATTTAATGCATGTGGGATCCTTCTGATAAAGTGGCAGTTGTGATGGGAATTCTGCTAATATCTTGGCATCTTAATGATAAAACAAAAATTATCATTTTCAGAGAAACCATGGGTTTACCCATGTAGCTTAATTTAATCTGATTTTCTTCTTCCTTCTTTCATGTCCAGAAGCTGATAGGGCAGTATACTGAATCTTATTTCAGTGCTGGCAATTTCTTCTATTCTACATGGACAGAAATACATTCATTTAGAAAGCATATGATAGTTATAGCTTATGCAGTTCTAGCCCCTAAAAGAAGGAATGAGCAGGGTGGCTCAAGAGAAGTGGTCTCATTCTTCCAGAGTTGCTTTCAACATCTACCACATGTGATAGTCCTCATATTGTACCTAATGGGAGGGAAGTATTTACATAATACACTGGGTACTGAAACATTTGCAAATGTCTTCACATATTGTTTCTTTTTATAAAGTATTTTTAATTATTTGAGACAATTTGCCTCCCAACACTGGGCATGTTAATTTCTTTCTAAGAATCTACAGGAACCTGAAGCTGATAGAACTTCCCTGAGATGCAAACAAAATGCCTTTGAATTTTGAGGTTATAATTTTATGCTTGAAATATTTGTCGTTATTATGAAATACTCTCAAAATGTGAAGGAATGAGAAAATATTGACCATGGCCATTCCCAGAGGCCTCTCAAAGGGAGCAAACGACAAAAGCAGAACTATGCTGAGGCAATGCCAACTCTACCCCTTCTACATGTGTCTTAATGTCAATTGCACATATATAAAAGAGACAGAACAATAGTGCAATGCTGAAGTTGGGGGTGCTGTTCTCAGAAAAAAATACTTGGACACCAGCAATAAAATAAAGGGGAAAATCTGATACTAGATTTCTCCCAATGTTAGAGTTTTTCCTCAACATATTCTTCCTATGATTCCCTTAAATGCCAGCTCCCAAGCCATAGAGTTATTTCCTTAAGAATTCATTAAAAATGTATCAAGGGGATTTTATCATCATTCTTTTCCTGCTTTACCGCAGTTGTTACCATCATCCAACCATATTCAGTCTTGAATAATGGTTGCAATTCCATTCCTCTCCTTTCTGGTGATCTGGGGAAAATCTGAAATTTTAACACATTTATTGCTTAAGATCATTTTGAAAGCTTGAGTTAAAACTGAAAAGATATATTGAAAAGTAAAAAAAAAACATATGCTCAATTAGTTTGCTTCCAAATACTTTGTAGAAATGTTGTGCTTTACAGACTTGTAAAGACAAGTCTGAAATGGGGTTAAGTAATTCTTCTTGCCTGAGTCAAATCAGAAGGGGAACTTGGTAATAGTTTGTTAGTTCTGATGGGGGAATAGATCAGAACCTCTTCTAAACACCTTTCTCCATTCCTCAGAAACTTCTAGCAGTAGATGACCCAGGTAGATTTCTTTCTATCTTTCTTCAGTACCCAACCATTCATACCTCAGGGTAATTTCTTACATTTTATTTATTTTTCATTTTAGATTTGGCATACAAATACTATACCAGACAGTGTTGGGATTTGTTTGCTGAGCAGATGGCCAATATCAGTAAAATATATTGGTGTGAGTGGAGGACTATTCGCAGGTATTTCAGAGTTTCACCTTTTACTGACCATGGGAAAGGGTAGGCGTGCCACTTGAGATTTAAATGAGGAAGCATGTTGTATGATTTTACCATAATGTATCATATTATCTGTGTCAGAAGAATATGAAGATACTTTTCTTAAATTATACTGTACAGATAGTCCTCATTTAGCAAGTGCCTCGATTAGCAGCCATTTGCATTTGTTACAGTGATAAAAATGTAACTTTATGACCAATCCTCACATTTATGACCTTCACAGGTCAAAGGAAAGTTGAAGTAAGATTATAAGCACAGTCATAGTGTCACTTGGAACCATTTCACTTAATGGCCAAATTTCCAATCCAAGTTATAATCATTAAACACAGACTACCTGTAAAGTACTATATTTTCTTATTTCAGATATTTGTACATTATTTTTGTAAAAAAGCTGTTTCAGAATTAATTGGTAGTATTCAGGTTAAATTAATCATAATTAGATTTAACTGAAATTAGTGAGATTAGATAGCCATGCAATAATGAAATGTGAGAATGACCTTGGAAGATGAGGGAAAGAAGTGCTGCTTAGGGAACAATCAGATAAAAGAGAGAGGAGCCCACAACGGAGCAACAGACAGAGAAGGGATCATAGAAAAGATGTGCCCTACTTAATCCAGCAATAAAAAAAAGGCAGTGGGAAATGTGTACTTTCAGACTTGGAAGATTGTGTTAATGTAGTCTTACTTTATTGTATTAACACAATAAAGTTAGTGCATCTGCTTATGTTTCCTGTCTGGTCTACATGAGAGGCTGACACCTGTCCTGTCCCCTTTTTTTCTCCCGGTGTCACAGATGTTCTTGGTTATCTTTGTTCCATTCAAAATGAGTGGTAAAAAGGAATTTTTCTAAGAATAAGCCAGGCCTATCCAGGTCTGGCTCTTTTTTGGTACAAGCTTTGTTTTCATCTTTTGCTTGAGAAAAGATGAAATGTTGGCTTCTAAAATAAGCTTAATGAAGTTGAAGTACCTACCATGGAGTAGTTTACTTTCTGTCTCATGGGGCTGATGTTTACTGCAATATAAAACTATCTTTTTCCTTGGGATGCTCTCCATTGCTCCGGTTGATTCCTTAAGGCCGAAAGAACTAACCATGTTTTCATTATTTTGAAAATTATAATCCTAAAAAGTAACATGGTTATACATGTAGCAAGTAGTAAGTAGTAACTGTAGGTCATGTGACATTGGGTAAAACAAAATAATAACCATGTTTTCTGGCAAGTAGATATGTGGAGGCAATTTGAGGGACCCCCGAAAAAGAGGAAATTGTAAGCTGAAATTCTGAATTTTATTGAAATTTGAATATTTTAGAAATATTCTTTAAAACTCACAAAAACTGTCCTGACTCATATTAAAAACATAAGCAATAAATAATGTCATCTTGTTGGACCTGGGATCATGAATTATCTGTGGCAGCAGCTGCCCTGTGGAATAGCATCCTTCTGGATATTTGAATGGCCCTAACCTTGTTAGCTTTTTGTAAAGATTGAAGACCTGGCTCCTCTCCCAGGTATTTGGACTGGATGCTTAAGTTAGCATTGCTAGCTAATGCTGGTTGATGTTCAGAGCAGAGGGAATAGCTTCAAAGGACAGGAGAAAGAGCTCCCACCGAGGCAACAGTCAAATAAAAGATCCTGAGTCTGGGCCAAGAAAATAACTTGAGAAATTGTCTCAGATGGCCACTCCTTAGACATGGATAAGACTTAGAAAGATTCTGTTATTATACTTATTAGAATAAAAATAGTACCAATGTTGGAATTTTTAATACGTTGCGCTGTGTTTGTAACTTTTAGCATAATTGTCAGTTATTGTTTTTAATCTTGGTATGTTTCCCAAAATCACTTTTGTGAGATGGGAGGCTATATAAATTGTTTAAATAAATAAACAAACAAACAAACAAATAAATAAATAAATAAATACATTTAAAATATTCTCACCAAGGATCTACACATTTTTTGATCATAAGATATTTGACCACATTAGGTGGAAAAAATATGAAAAAAGAAGACATAATATTATCAAAAGTCCCAGTGCATTTTGAGGAAATACATTCCTTCTCAGACCATTCCTCCCTCATTTCCTACATATTTGATCAATATGTTTTCTTGTTTCTTACCTTAGATAAGAGAATATATATAAGCATGGGGGTTGCATGCCTCTATATGTTCACTTATGTGTATGCAACTATTTCTCATTCTCTAATTTTGGAGAGTAGGTCTGAATGGACCAACTTTTTTTCTGGGCATCTTGCTTACACTATTAATTTTGTTTCTACCTTCATATTTTGTTTCCTTGGCTCTTGGTTATCTTTATAGGCCATACAGTCACCTGAGAAAATGCCTGGAAAGTGAAGCTGATAAACTGGAGCTTGACTACCCCAATTCCATGGCTGAGGAATACATCATTATCAGCCACCATAACTACTTCCTCAATTGCACCCTGAAGAATCGACCTCTCCAGGACCCTCCTGAAAATATTTTGCTAGCTCTTATTATAACCCCCATCTGCCTTATTCCTTTCTTGGTTGCTCTTGTTGTATTGAAGAGCAAAGATGGTGAGATGCAATTGTGAATCCTGATCTTTACAAGGTGATGTGATAGGGCCTCCATGGCCTAAGTGGTATAATTACAACACTCAGTTCAATTCTTGGGTATTATGAAATTCACCCTACCCAATCTAAGAACATTATATAGCATGAGCCACTGCACTGGAGACTATTGGTTGAAGTGTTGCATAAGGGGACTTTGTACTAAAAGAAGGGTCATAAACAACAAAATCAAACCTCCATCACCAAGGCAAATGCTGATGTATGTATGTCTCAGTTATAATTTGATTTAATATTACTGCCTCTCTTATTCTGAATGAATTATGGGAATTATAGACTTGGGAGACACCAAGGCAGTGAAAGATTTTAGGGTGGATATAGATAGGCCAAACAAACTATATGTGATTTTTTTTTCCTTTAGAAAGAAAATGGTAAGTGCCCGTGTGCCCTTCTTTTTGCATACTGATATCTTTGTCCTTCCACCCAAACTCTCATCCAACACTTACAAATGTCAGATAGTAATGCCCAGTGGTGGGATTCAGCCAGTTCACACCAGTTCAGTAGAACTGGTAGCTAATTTTTTGTTGGCCAGGCCCCAGAATGGACTTTTGGAAGCAGCATCCACACAGAGAACCAGTTCTTCATATATTTGAATCCCACCACTGGTAATGCCCTATACAATAGTGTGTTTCCATGTAGGCAAAGTATTAGGATAATGTTCCTTGTCTTTGTCCCTATTAAGATTGTCTCTATGGACAAGCTCTGACTGTCCCAGATGTGGATTTCCTTTTGTAAGTAATTTGGACTAACTGGAGACGGAATGGCATCTTCCCTTACTGCCGTCTTTTCAGTTGGAATAGAGAAAATACAGAAAGTAACTGCTAAATGGATCAAGAAATGAACTGAAAGTTGGTCTAAGTTTAGCAAAAAGAATTATGAGGGACATTCATGGCAAAAGTTAATTAAATAGTGAATAGTTAGTAGACATGACAATCTAGAAGAGTTCAACATAGTCACAGTTTGGTCATTGTGTGACACTCTTGTAACTGTTTTTAAAATGCAATGCAATTACATTTTTCTATATTAGTAGCATAGTACTATTGAGACAATCTAGAGCTATTGGCTCTTTCTGTATTAACTTCCCCTTTGCATCCTCTTTGTTCCCCTCTCCAACATTTTAGTAGTAATATTGATTTTAACAAACCCCAACAACATAATACTATTATTTGATCATGGGGCTCTAACATAAACCCTAGAAGCTACATACTTTTTCATAAAAGCAACTTCCCTTCCATTATGTGTACTGCAAAGGAACTCATTTAGATCAGTTCAAAAATTATGTTCAATATTTTGGGGGATTGAAGATGTAAGCACTAAAATTTCTACAGTTCTTCAATGCTTCTTACCTTTCACCTTGATAACCTCTGTAATGCCTCCTTTTTTGAGGGATTCTCAAGTTGAAATATCCTGCCCCCCAAATGAGCAACATGCAAAAATTACTGAAGCAAAACAACAGATCAGCAAGTGGATAAACTGGACAGTTTTACTAGATAGTCATTCATTTATCATAACTGTTTTCCTGGGACACGCATATTTGCCTTCATTCATGTTTTCTTAGAAGTGAACATCTGATTATTCTTTTCCTGTAGTTTTTTTTCTTTCAGTGTTCATAATAATATGTATGATAAAGAAATGAGAACTGAAAGGAAATCAGTAATTAAAATAGACTTCAATGCCAGAAAATGTTTCCTTGTCATGATGCAGATACCCTATAACCGAAGTTGCAGAAAAATCACTAATTTTCAGTTGTGTGATTTTGCATATAGTCAGGAGTTACTAATAAGTATCCTTTCTGTGTAATTCCTGTCATAACGAATAATTTCCTTTTTTGTGCTTCAAATGGCAATAAAGATTATGATATTCTGTTGAAGTCTCTTTGTTCTAAATACTACTTTCTTATTTTAATTTTATTATGATAATGTTTTCATTTTAGTCTAATTTTGTTCTCTTTCATTTTGTATATTATCTCAAACATCTGAGGGGCATTGCAGTGATTTATTAATATTTCAGATAAAATAAACATGGAACATACTAAGTAGAGCTACTGTTTGAAAGTAAATTAATGTTTTAATTAATGTTTTAATAAAAAAAAGAAAGGCAAAATTTTCAGGCCACCCATCCCACAACAGTGATTCTGGACAGTGTACAATGTTTAAAACCCAACAATTAAACCAATAATCTATGACACCCTTTCCAACTATATAAATAAAAGGGCTTGTCCTATCTCCTGGTCCAAATGCCTTGGGGAAATGCCAATTTTGTTAGGGATATCTAAATTTTCTCGGGGAAGCTTTTGCACTAAGACATTGTTTAATAGAAGAGACACAAATCATGCCCTCTCCCTTAAGAGTCTGCCGTCTTTGCTAGATCTGGTGGGTTGAGCAGAAACAATGAGAGAAAGGCAAACTTGCAAATGTGCAACTCACAGAGCAGCAATGTTACATGGGTTAGTGTGAGATGCCAAAAACTGCGTGCATAGAAATTAACATGTGCATTAAATTACGACTATAAGCAACCAGTAACTAGTGCACATTTCAATACATGTATCATATAATTTCTGTATCTTGTACCAATCTAGAGGCTAAATGCCAAATTTTGTACCACTTGCAACTGCTAAATGCTTTTCAAGGAAGTTCCACATAACGCACATTGCACTTAATTCAGGGCATAACTAAGATATTGATAATATCTGACTAAATCTGGGGGGTCAAGGGTCTAATTACCAAGATAGATTCAAATGTCATCCTTTGCATAGCTGTGCTGTGTAGCCAATGATTGCTGAGGTCATGATATAGTGAGAAAGTGAACCTATTTTTCCAAGGAAAAATGCAGAAAACCCAATTCAGAACAGTTAAACTCCAATTACCAATTCTATTTTCCTATATATTGTAATAGCTATTCTAATTTCAGTTTGGTCTCTTTCATTCAGCCCAATATCAAACTTAGGTAACATTCAGGAACACTAAAGTTAGATAGCAAAAAGCAGCAGAGCTGGGTAATACAAGCATACTGATGGTAACCCAGACCAAAGCTCTAAATAGTCTACATGGTTTAATATAGATGCTGAACAGTATAGAGTATAAGGTGTAAATAAGACATTATAAATCAAATAGTCCCCCAGCACTAACTTATGAACGTATTGTAATAGGAAGCACAATCTCCTGATTCCCAGTCCTACCAGATAAACCAAAAATATTCCATAATCAATAGGATAGAGCATTTCCCACAGGCTAAACCTTGCTTATGTACCATTCATATCTGTTTTAGATAGCTCAGTTATGCTTAGTCCTCAGATGCAACTGTCTTACTCACCTTGATACCTAATCTTTATTCAGGAATTAGTTTAATTAACAGAAGGTTCCCAGACATAGCTCAGCAAGATTGTTGTTGTTGTTGTTGTTGTTGTTGTTGTTGTTGTTGTTATTATTATTATTATTATTATTATTATTATTATTATTATTATTATTTCGGAGAAGAATGAAATCATATACATGCCAGAGTTTTGTCTACTGAAGTTTACAGAATCAAAGCCTTCTAGAGGTTTGCCTGCTTAGGTTTCATTCTTTGCTCACCCGTCTTTCTAAGTCAGCGGTTATTTGGCCATTATCCTGATGACCTTGGAAGGCACCTGATCTGTGTTGGCAAAATGGGTCCTTCTAGCCTGACAACTGGTTCCTGCTTGACCAGCTTCAATCCTTTTTATTATTCTCTATTATTAAAGAAAATGTAATTACTAAAAGTGGTATATTTGTTTTCACCCAGTTCCAACATTAATGAAGTCATTAGTTTAATTGGTGGAGAGATTACAAAATTTATTTTTCATTGGAGGACGTTCTAGTATCATACATTTTTGGTATTCAGAGGATTCATTGAATATAATTTTGAACAATATAAACAGTTATTTTTATGCATACTTTCATAGGCACTTATGATATAATTACATCAAAATCCCCTAGCATAGCAGATAAAATTTCATTTTGCTTTTGACTGATTTGCTTTATCACTAGTCAAACAAATATAATATACAGTGTAAATTATCCTAATAATTCCCTATTTCAGGGATATCCATCTATGGCATAGGCTATAAAAGGCCTTTCATTAAATATCTTGAAAACTTGCAATAATCTTAATGGAAAAGAGGATGAATGTATTGTTTAAAGATTTAACTAAATGGTTTCTCCTATGGATGTAACAAGGAGCATACCCTTTCTTGAGGAACATACTCTTCCTCAAAAACTAAAGAAAAAGGAGTCTAAAACTTGAACTGAGCAGTTAGATGTTAAACTGAGCACTTTTGAAAAGTTTGACTAGCAATGTCTCCCATAGGGGGATATACAGGTCAACTTACAAAAGTTCATTTAGCGACTGTTCAAAGTCACAATGGCACTGAAAAAGGTGAGTTATGATAATTTTTCACATTTACAACTATTGTAACAACCCCATTGTCATGTGATCAAAATTCAGATGCTTGGCAACTAAATTACCATCATCATCACCATCACCATCATCATCATTATCGGAAGGGATCTTAGAGGTCTTCTAGTCCAATCTCTCCGCTCAAGGAGGAGACCCTATTCCATTTTGGACAAATGGATGACCAATCCCTTCTTAAAAGCCTCCAGTAATGGAGCACCCATAACTTCTGAAGGCAAGCTGTTCTACTGATTGATTGTTCTCACTGTCATGAATTTTTTTCTTATTTCTAGGTTGCATCTCTCCTTGGTTAGTTTCCATCCATTACTTCTTGTCCTGCCTTCTGGCCTTTGGAAAATAAGTTGATCCCCTCTTCTTTGTGACAGGCCCTTAAATATTGGGACACTGCTATCATGTCACCCCAAATTCTTTTCATTAGATTAGAAATACCAAACTCCTGGAACCGTTCTTCATATGTTTTAGCCTCCAGCCTTTAATCATTGTAATTGCTCTTCTCTGGATTCTTTGCATCGTATTTATGATGGGTGCAGTGCCCCAGGTTCAATTGACCACCTTTGAGACCTTCTGATAGGCAAAGTCAATGGGAAGCCAGATTCACTTAGCAATCATGGCAATAACTTAGCAACTGCAGTGATTCACTTAACAATTGTGGCAAGAAAGGTCATAATATGGAGCAAAATTCACTTAATTGCCTCACTTAGCAACAGCAATTTTGGGCTCAATTGTATTTGTACGCTGAGGATGCCTGTACAACAGGTGAGCACTTTATCTTCTTTTTACTTTGAACCGAGGTACTCCATATAAGTCATGCACAAGTCAAATGAATATAATATGCAGTGTAAATTACCTGAGTAATTCCCTCTTTCAGGGATATTCATCTATAGCGTTAAATATTTTGAAAACTTGAACCAGTCTTAATGGAACAGGGGATGAATGTATTGTTTAAAGATCTAACCAAATGGTTTATCTTGTATGTATAATGGGGAGCATGCACTGTCTCAAAAACTAAAGAAAAAGCAGTCTAAAACTTGAACTGAGTA